GATAAGCCAAATACCTCCGGAAAGACGGAACCAAAGCACCCGGGGGAACACAGAACCGAACCAGGGAAGGGGCAGACACCAAATTCAACTCGTACGCAGAGGGGTGGGGGTGGGGGGGGGGGGTTGGAAAGAAACCCCCACTCCTTATAACAGTAAGCCCCACTCAGAGGGGTAGAAAAACCCAGGCGGGGTCCAGAGGGGCCAAAGGCCCCCAAGTCAGCCCCTCCCCAGCCCCAGGGTCTTCTTCCGCAGGACCCGGGGCCGAGTCGTCCCCCCAAGCACCGACCCCACTAGACAATTTATGAGGGAAGGACCAGGAGGTGCGGACTGAACCAGGGTCGAAGCGATCCACACCCCCAAGTCCGGGGGTCCCTATAAGCATAACGGGGCAGCTGCAGGGCATCCGGGTGAGCAACCAACCTAGCACATTGTAACAACCAAAACCTAGAATGCAACGCCTGTGCAGACTGTACCCGAAGATGACCATCCATAGATTAGGTAAATTGAGTCACCAGCAAGCAACAATACTCACAGGACTCAGGGTCGAAAGTGTCACCGACCCAACAGGCTGCATGGCGGAGGCAAAAACAGTGAGGGTCCCCTGAGACAAGGGGACCGAACAACCCTCAAACTCGCACGAAGCGAGGGGGGGACCCCGGGGCCACATCCATCGGACCCATGCGTCCCCTAGGGGATTCCCAGGGTACTGAGCGTTTACTTGAAGAAGACTCGCGCTCAGGTAAACCCAGGCAGGGTACTGCTAACCGGCGCCCAAAACTACCAAACAAACTGTCTAAAGCTGAACACCAGGGACGTGTACACTCCCGGGGACCAAGCAGGGGGGCACCACCAAGTATCAGGGTGAGGCCAAACACCAGGGACAAATAGGTTAGAACCCCTCACCAAGGCAAAAAAAAAAAAAAAAAACCTGCAAGAGTACAACGTACCCCAAGGAACAAAGTTGGCCACTGTGATAGGTGACAACTAGCTGCGCAGCACCCTGCGCCCCTTACCAGTGCGAAAACTGCCTCTTACCCCTAAGGAAAACTAGGGAGACAAAAACCCCAAGTGCCCAAAGGGCGGCCGAGAAACCGAGCAGTAAAACGGACACACAGAGGCAGACCCCGAGGAACTTATGGAAGGTAACCCCTAAGCTCCAAGAGCAGTACTTACAAGGCACCTAGGGAAGAGAACCCTAGGCACATGCAGCCCAAGTACTGAGGAATAACTCCTGGCTCTCGCACCCCTGCAGTACAGCAGCCACACACAAGGCACAGCGCCACAAAAATACTGGAGCCAGAGCACACAACCGAGCCGATAGCATCAGCCTCAAGAACTGGGGTGTGGATCGCCGGCGCGGTAGATCTGGGGCTGCCCCTTCCCCCTCCCAGTGAGAGGAGGGCTGCGCAGATAGCGGCGCGATGACGGGTGACGTCATACTAGTTTGCTCGTTATTGTTTGGCGAGTTCTATCCACTTGTTCGGCTTTTGGTTGCAATTTTCACCAAAATAGGGGTTTGTTTTGGGACGCTTACCTTTCTGAGTGCCTAACCCAGTCGACCCAAGTTCTGGCTTGTGGTCCCCGGTAGGCCCATAAGAACTCCATACACATGACTGATGCCAAAGTCTGACATTAGCATATCAGCCTAGTAAGCTCCGGGGAGCCGTAGGGGCTTCCCCCAGAAAGGGGACGAAAATCTAAGAGCCAGGGCCCAAGCCGATTCCAAAGAGTGGATGAGCACCGCCTGTCGGCAAGCGAGACGAGAAGCAAGAGAACAGGGACACCTCCTTCTTCAGAATGGGCGCAAACAAGCTCAACAAGGCAGCCGACACTCGAGCTGCCGAAGCAAACACACCGGACATCGGCCCAGATCCCAGTTCTTGCACATCCTCGCCGAGCCAGTCCGAAGACGAGCTCTTGCAGAGAAAAGAACTGCAAGACCAAAGCCAAATGCCCACGGGCTCGCAATTCCTCGGCCGCCAGGGACGCCAAAAGGGAGGGAACCTGCGTGTGAAGCTGAATCTGACCAACATCACGAGGAAGTACGGGGGCGAACAAGCACGCACTGACGTGCTCAAATTCGCCTCTAGGTAAACCTGAACAACCATAGGCACATCCCGCCATTCAAGCGCACAGGTCCAACAGAACGAATGCCACACCCCCAACGAAAAGAAAGGGCAGTTCGCCAACCAGGAAGACTCCAACACCTCGTAACGCATCCAGAAAGAAAACAAGGAGCCAAACTCAAAAGAAGAAGGATCCATTACCAAGGAGTAATCCGGGTCTTACAAAAGGTAAGCCGCAAGGGCTTCCCGCGCCACCTTTGATGTGATGCAGGAAGCCAAAAACCTCTGGAAGGAGGGAATGGAGGAACCCAAGGAAACCTGGAACCAAATCCGGGGAGGAGTTGCACCCATATCAAACTTGTACAGGGAGGGGGGAATAGGAAAACCCCTACCCCCTGTAGCAACAAGCACCGCGCCGAGGGTACTAACACCCAAGCGGGATCAAACAAGGTCAAACGGAGCCCCCAAGCACCCCAAGTCAACTCCTCCCCAGCCCCAGGAACCTCCACGTCAGGACCCAGCACTGAGCTGTCCTCCAAACCCTTTGCCTCTGGAGAAATGGTAGAGTCTGCCTGAAAAGCCGAGATGAAAGAGGGCCGCTGGCATGGCCCAAGGGCTCCAGCAGGAGGAACAGGCTCGAATGCCTCCGCCGCCGATCAGGAAGGGACATTTCGCGAAGCCCCCCCGAGACTCGCCATCAGGCAAACCCTGCCCCGACTCTGAAACCCTCAGATGTTTGGGAGCCGGGAGCATGAACAGGATGAACCACAGCAGGAAAAGGACTAGGGGATGCAGATGAAACCAGTCGAGGCGACTAACACCCCCAAGTCTGGGTTCCTAGAATTAAAGCTGGGCAGCTACGGGGCATCCGGAGGGGCAACCAACCTTGCGCGTTGCAGCAACCTAAACCTTGCATGCAACACTGAAGCTGCTTGCACCCGAATATCTATCTCATTGGACAGGGCGAATTGGAGTACAAACAAGGAACACTACTCGCAGGACTCCGGGTCAAAGGTGTCGTTGATCCAACAAGCAGCATGGCGGAGACAAAGACGGTGAGTTTTCTCGAGTCAAGAGGACAGAGCAACCTTCAAACTCGCACAAGGCGAGGCGAAACTCTGAGGTCTCTCCCATCAGACCACTGAGCCCCCAAGGGGGTTTCCAGGGCCCTTAGGCTGACTGCTAAGGGAAGCCCAGGCAAGGTACTGCTAACCGGTTATCCCAGAGCTACCACGCAAACAAACTGTAAGCTGAACCCCTGCGACGTGTGCAAGCGTGGGGACCTAGTGGAGGCTCACCAAAATCCTACAAGTGGTCCTACCACCACAAAAGGCAGACCCCACCAGGCAAAACAAAAAAGTAAAAGAAAAACCCCCGCAAAAGCACGTCGTCTCCAGGTGAACAGAACCGGTCGCTATGCGTGTATCAGACAGCTGCACAGTATCTCGTGCCCCTGCCACCGATGAAACTACCTCCTACCCAAGGAAAAGAGGAGAAAGAACCACCCAAGCTGAACCCCCAAGGGCGGGCAATCACGGAGCAGCAACAGAACCACACGGAGGTAGTTCTCAAACGGCTTAGGGAAGATGACCCTGAAGCCACAAGGACAGTACTTACAGGGCACCTAGGGAAGGCGGCCCTAGGTGCATGCAGCCCCAGTACTACTGTGTTACTCCTGGCTCGCTCGATACTAAAACTGAACATCATTATCGCACTGCAGCCCTGCTCAAAAGATGGAGCCAGAGTCGATCAACCATTCGCCCTAACAACAGCCTGTGAACTGAGGAGAGTTGCCGGCATTTAGGTCTGGGACCCCCCCCCCCGTTCCCCACCCAGAGAGGGGGGGGGGTTGCACAGACAGTTGCGCAGTGTTTGTGATGACGACATACTTGCTTCCTTAGTTTTGATTGGGGAGTTCTGTTGCTTGTTCGGCTTTTGGTTTACAATTTATTTGAACAGCAGTAGTTTGTTTTGGAATTCCTACCTTTCTGGGTGCCTGTCCTGGAAGATGGCAGACAAAGACTGCTTCCAATTACACGGGGGTGGCTTTAGGCCATTGCTCATCGTGCCTCTCTTGAGGGGGCCAGGGTCTGGCTCTGGTCCCCAGTAGGCCTAGAACTCCTTCAATTGACTGTTGCCACGGTCTAATATATACACATCAGCCTGGTATTCTGGGGAGCCGAAGGGGCTCTCCACAGAAAGAGGCTATTTGACCATCACCACTTGACCACTATTAAACACCATACACAAAATAGTACAGTAACAGCAATCAGTAAAATTGACAAAAAAGGAATTCTTGACACCTGGAACGTCAAGAACAAAAAGTCATATATTGAATCTAAGGAAGTGAAGATGCCAAAATAATGTTAGAAAGTTCTGTTTTGCAAACAGAGTGGTAAATGGTTGGACACAATTTAATTGTGGTCGTGGTGAATGCCAAAACTGTAAGTAGTTTCAAAATGTTATACAACAAGGGTACTGGGAAAATGGGTTACCATTAGCGTAGCTCTCATCTTGTGACTACACCTAGGTTATTACACAGTACACAAACTGCTTGGTTACAGTATACATGCTGCTTGTTACACACAGTATACAAGTTGCTTGAATACAAACCAATCAAAACTCAAATTGCTTTCAACTTAACAAAATTAATTAAGAGCTCTACTAGGGGTGTAATTCTGTGCATTTTTTATTAAGCAGATACCGTACTCCTCAAAAAGAATTAAAGTTATCCAGTATCACATACAGTACTCATCACAGAGTTGAACAGTTAGCCATTGTAACATGCATCAATGTACCATACCTGAGCTTAACACAAATTTATCATCACAGCTAACATAGTAATGTGGCTAACTCACTCATCAACAATTAAAGTTGTGTACCCAAGAGAGGAGGCAAGCCCTAAGTTAACTTCATCATGAGTCAGATTATCACCTGGTGCTGGAAGCTGAGTCTGGCCAGTAACACTAGAAGTGACAGCAGAAGGTCGATGTGGCACTGCCGCTGGACGTTCAGGAATCAGTGGCTTGGGATGGTCTGCCAGTATTGTTGAGCGAGTCATTAGGCAAGGCTTCTCTGGCAAAGCAGGCTTATCTGGTCTTTGCTGAAATAAAAAGGAAGATGCTTTAATGCTAATAAACTTAATTGTCACAGAGTGCATCAATTTCCTTATCCACTGTATTGATAACTCATTATTGACCTTCTACAATCGAGTTTCAAAATAAGTGACCAGTAACTTTTTTTTTTGAGGTGGAGAGGTAGCAGACTGAAGAAACTGTGTGATGAGGAGATAAGAGGACCAGAAAATATCTTAAATTGTTAAACAAAGAGAACAGCCCAAGAGAAACGTGAGCAAAATCTAGTACTGTATCCAGAAAAAACACACAATCCGAGCAGTGTTTTTTTTCACACAAGTGTTATCCGGTCTTATACCTCAGAAGTGTCAAGACCAAAAATATAGTATTACAAGGCCACGCAACCCAGTGTTTATTACACTTCTCACGGAAGGTGTATGGATGGATTATGCTTTAGTCATAAAAAACCAGCGTTGAATGTAATGAAACGCCATTTTCTGGGTGAGACCCGGAGGCTCCCCGGAGCTTTACCGGCTGATATGCTAATGTCAGACTTTGGCATCAGTCATGTGTATGGAGCTCTAGGGCCTACCGGGGACCACGGCCAGAACCTGGCCCCCTCAGAGAGGCAAGGGGAGCAATGGCCTATAGAAACCCCCGTGTGGTTGGAAGCATTCTATGTTTGCCATCGACCGGGTCAAGCATCCAGAAAGGTAAGCATTCCAAAACAAACCCCTATTCTGGTAAAAATTGCTACCTAAAGCCGAACTAGTGGATAGAACTCTTCAACAGAAAACAAGGAAACTAGTATGACGTCATACGTCACCGCACCGCTGTCTGCGCAGCTCCCCCCTCCCCGAGAGGGGGAAGGGGGAGCCCCAGACCTCCCACGCCGGCTATCCACCCATCAGTTCTGAGGCTGGATGTCAAAACACTCGAAAAACCGCCGACCTGAGGGAGGGAGGGTTGCCGGGGAGCCTCCGGGTCTCACCCAGAAAATGGCGTTTCATTACATTCAACGCTGGTTTTCTGGGGGGAGTCCCGTCGGCTCCCCAAAGCTAACTACCCACAGAGGAAGGTCGAAGGGACAGAACCGGGAGGCGGACACCACGCACCCCCCAAGGAGGCGAGACAACCGGCAGCAAGCGCCAACCCAAGGCGCCACAGCCCCGAAAAGTCCCAGTAACAATACGAGAACAACAAGCAGCAAGGCCCCTGCACGAACACCAAAAATCCATGCCCGAAAGACCGCAAGGCCACGTCGCCCAGACGGCAGCGAGAGCAGCGAAGCCACGATCGCCACAGGCATGAGGGAAGAACACAGGCAGCTTAGCCGCAAGAACACGGCTGACCACCCGGGACACTATCACCCGCGAACCGGGAAGAACAGAACTGGATCAATGCAAAACGCGCTCCGGACCCAAACGCTGTGGCACGCAAACAACAGCGGAGGGCCGCCACTGAACACAAAAAACGACACACCCCTGGCCCGACCAACGAAGCACCAACAACCCTGGACCCCTCCAGAACGCAGCAGCCCCACCCCGCGCCAGAAAAGATAGAGACTGCCGCCACCGAACAACCAAAACGCTAAAACCGAAGGAGCAAGAAAACTCAGCAACTCGACCCCCAGAGGCAAAGGCCCAAAGGAAAGAGCCGACGAAAAAACACACCGGAACCGAAGGGGCACTACCAACCGACGAGAAGACCGAGCATGCTGACCAGAGACCAGGATGGTGCAAGCAGCGCACGAACAGGCCGGAGGTGAAACGACGCACAAGACAGCTGACTAACGGTGCAGAAGCAACACCAAGACCGAAAGCAAGCTGAAGCGGCTCCGCCAGCGCCGCACGAAAAGAGGCGACAGTATGTGGCAAGACGACGGCCCCCAACCCCCACCAGAAAACCAAGCCGAGAGTAAACCAAGCTAACAAGAGTAACCATCTAAGAAGGGACAGGAAAAGGAAGGACCGCCAAAATACCCCATACTGCCGCCAAGAGAAGCACGCAGGTGGGACACCTACCACGAAGCCACCCGACCACCAACCGGAGGCAAGACCACGAGGCAGAACATAAGCAGCCCCGACAAGGCCCCTCCGAGCCCAGGAAAAGGCGGAGCCGCGGGAAGATCTCGGGCGCGACCACCGAAACCCAGGCGGCACAAGGAGATGGAACGTCTGCCGAACAGAAAAACTCCCCAAAGCATGCAAGCCCGCCAGGAGTTCAGAAACGACGGGTCCGACGCGAGACATCGCAAGACCCCCCCCCCCCCCCCAAAAAAAAAAAAAAAAAAAAAAAAAAAAAAAAAAAAAAAAAAAAAAAAAACGGCAGGGCAAGCTAGGAAACCAAAGAAGGCGGAAGGGTCGCCGCCAGAACAGTACCCGAACCAAGGGGTACGAACAACTGCAATAGACCAAGACAAAGAAGCACATCACAGGACACAGGCCGACAAACGCCTAAGAACACACGCAGAACACCCCTGCTGCAGAGGAGGCAGGAAGAAAGAGCAGAAGCACAAAAACCCCAGGATAACGACCAGGGGTGGACAATCAGGCAGGGACAGAAAAAACCCCACGCAATCCCCAGGCACAAAACGGCAGCAAAGTGCCACTCCACAACCGGACACAGGAACAAGGACACGCCACCGTGAAACACGGTACCAATGCACACGTGCAGCAGCAGCTACAGGCACCACTGCAACATCCAACATGTAAATAGCAACTCCCTTCTGCAAAGGCAGAGAACGGAGCAGGCAGACCCCAGACAGGGCCAACGGAGACACGACAAAACCCCACAGGCCCAGAAACCTGCACCAGGCAACCGACAGCAGAGAAACCCCGCTCGATACCTGCTGGATGAGGTACTGGGAGCTCTTTTACACCTCAAGCCCGGCCCAAGGCCAGCCTAGACCGGCCAGAGGGTGGCCCACCAGGCAGCTGCTAGGAGCAGTCCACCGGCCCACATACCCCCACAACCAGGACGGGCCGGAACTGCCATACGAAAACAGGCCAGTGCGCCCTGGAAGTCCACGGACGAACCAGCAAGAAGGCTTATGCTCGCAAGTAGGTCGTGTAACAAGCACAGACCTCTGATGGTAATACAGTGTTCCCCAAATGTGCCAATAGCACCACCGCACTCCACTGGTACTATCCCGCAAGTTCTACCAGATAGGCGGGACCCAAGAGCCAGAGCTCAAAACCTGCAAGCACAGCCAGGAGCATTACCAGGTGAGTACAGAACCAACCCTACAACCCCCACACCCCACAACATTAAAAAGGAGGGTCCCCTGAATAAATCCAGCATGGGTTGGACATGCACATGAGGGGGACAGGAAGGGTTGAAAAAGGGACATTCACTGGTGTGCGAACGGTCTCAGTCGTACAAAAATATACCTAAATAAAGACAGGTATATAAACAACTCCGCATCCAGCGCCCGGCCAAAAGACGCCAGACTGCAGAAACTCACCTGGCGAACGGTGGCACGAACTTGACATGACTCAACCGTGCCCAGAAGAACCTGGGAGCACCGCCAGATGAAGACGCCAGAGCCGGACCCTGCCGGACCCGCAGGAGAGCAGGGAGAGGCGAAGGAGGCGGTCCACACCCATGACACAGGGAAAACCGCGGTGTCCTCCCCACAACTGGGAACCAGGACACCCCCGGCGCGAAGGGGCACATACCGCAGCCAGGGAGAAGAACGAGAGGCGCAGCACTGTAGCAAAAAGGGCGCAAAACACCAGCACTGAAACACCGCCCAGACCAAAAACTCCACGGCGCATGCGCAGAACACGCTGGCCGAACCGCACACCCTCTCTGCGGGAAGGCGCCAGCCAGGACTACTGCACAAGAAAAGTAGCCAAAAGAGGAAGCAGGAACAATAAAAACCGGCCAAAGTAGCAAAGAGCCCAAAAAGGAGCCCAACCGGGCGACAGGTAGCCCAACCGGGCGACAGGTAGCCCAACAGGGCGACAGGTAGCCCAACAGGGCGACAGGTAGCCCAACAGGGCGACAGGTAGCCCAACAGGGCGACAGGTAGCCCAACAGGGCGACAGGTAGCCCAACAGGGCGACAGGTAGCCCAACAGGGCGACAGGTACGAGGAGCCGACAGACGTTCCAATAATGCGGGAAGTAGTGAAACACCTTCCTGTACCCTCGAGAACACAGAAGCCGACACTAGTCCCGAAGGCACACGAAGGCGCAGGCGCACCCGAGATCAGAAGTCATGCAGAACCCCACCGAACGGGGAAACATGACGAAAACACCGTCCCAAAAAGGGGTGGGAGGAAACATCCACCCACAGGACAGAACCAACCGACTCAAAGGCCAAGGAACCGAGCCCGGGGAGGGGCCGACGCCCAACAGCACCAACAGCACGTACGGCGAGTGAGGAGGAAAGACCCCACTCTGCGTAACCACAAGCCCCGCCTAGAGGGGGATAAAAAACCCCACAGGATCCAACGGGGCCAAGGCCCCCCAAGTCAGCCCCTCCCCAGTCCCGGGAACCTACACGACAGGCCCTGGGGCCGAGCCGTTCCCCCAAAGCCCCGGCCGTACCAGAAAACCGGGGCAGCCGTGAAAACACCAAGGAAGGGAGCCCACTGGCAGACTCATACAACACGGCTGGAGGAACAGGCTCAAATGCCCCCGTCACCACCCCGGAAGGGGAATTCCCCGAGACTGCCCGAGTCTCAACACCATCAAAAACCCCGCCCCGAACCTACAGACGGTAAGGAACCGGATGCAGGCAGGAAGGGTGATCCAGGGGAAAGACAAGGGGGCGTGGATGGAACCGAAGCAACCAACACCCCCAAGTCCCAAAACGAACTACAACGGGGCAGCCCCGGGGCTCCCGGGGAGGAAACCACGAGAACGTTGCCACCACCAAGGCTCAAGTGCAACGCCCCTGCTGCCCGCACCCGCTTTGTTAGCACAACTGGGTAACCGAGCCACAACGAGCAACCAAACTCGCAGGACTCCGGGTCGAAGGTGTCACCGACCCCACAGGCAGCAGACGGAGGCAAAACAGAG